CTGTCGCCAGCGAGCGACGGCCTCACCGGGCTCAGCCTCGCAGACACACCTGGCAAAATCGAAAGCTTGTCTCGGGCATTGAACTTGACAGCTGCAATCAGTTGCAAACCCCAGTGTCCCCTGAAAGGCAGACGCAGACACCTGGCCCAGAAGGCGGCAGCCTCTCCATCAAATGTCACCTCTGATGTGCTTCTGAGCGGGCTGGTGGCACCGCAAAGCCCAAAGGCAGGTTTCAGGAGCAAACGCTTTCCTCAGGAAAAAAACCAATCATGCAGAATCCCTATCACAGCAGCCGAAGACACAGTAACAAACTTAAGGTAACCACACGGTTATGCCACTGCTCATGTCAAGGTGGCTGCTGGGGTGGAAGAGAGGGGAGGGAATTGGAGGTCAGAGCCAGCCACTGAGTACCTACTGTGTGCATGCACTGTTCTCGGCTCTCAGGGTGCAACACAAACCAAACAAGACAGGGTGCCTATTCTCACGGAACCTCGTGGGGAGAGACAACAGAACCAAACTCAAGCAGGTCAGTGTGAAAGGTCCAAGCGGACAGACACTCTGATGAACAGAAAACAAGGTGACGGCGGGCAGCTGGGGTGCTTCCCTGAGCAAGTGGCCTGCTGGCCGAGACTAAAGAGACGAAGCCAGCCATGCAGGGCGTTAGAGGGAGAGCATTCCAGGCAGAGAGGACAGCAGGCGCAAAGGGCCTGTGAAGACAATGTTTTGTCTGTTCAGGAGCGGCCCGGGTGAGAGGACGGCAGTCGAGGGTTCAGGGCACCAGGCCCCCAGGGTGAGGGAGACTCTACAGCAAGCGGAGCTGTGCCCCCAGGGGCCTGAAGATCTCCCCCAATCCCTGCGCCTTAGTGTTCGCGTGCACATAGCCGTCCTCCCTTCCCAGGCTGCCGCCGCGTGCTGCTGCGAAGGGCTCAGCCGAGACCCGCGCACAGCACGTGTGTAATAACTACCCACCACCAAAGCCAAGCAGCTGCCGGGCGCAGAGATATTGCAAAACCTGCCCGGGCATCTCCAAAGTGTTTTCTTGGCCAAAAAACTAGCAGCGAAGAGGCTGCTTTCTGGAGACGGCGCTGTTCCCCGGACGGTCTGATCGGGCTGCTTTCCCAGCCCGCGAGCTCTGTGAGGACCAAGTCCACGTGGCTGCGCCCTGTAACCTCATAGGCTGCCCCTGGCAGGCGGGGGCATCCCAGCACAGGACCCGCTGACTGACATGTGGAAGCTCACCCCGGTGGCCCCGGGTATGGCCTCTGGAGCCAGACGGGCCCAATGCAAACCCAGCCCTGCCATCTCCGGGCACGGTATCCCTTCCCTGGGCCTCGTTGTTCCTGTCTGTAAAATGGGGCTGAGTTTGGGATTGATGAGTGGATGGATGTGACATCCTCAGCAGGTGCACAAGGCTGAGGTCCAGCATCAGACCTTGGGGTGGGGGGGGGCTGACTGTTCTTGCTGGTCACTGTCATCAAGGCCAGGTGTCCCCACCACGGCTGAGCCATGCCAGCAGGTTGGACCACCCCCGACGAAGTCCCCTGCCCCGGCCCTCCCTCTCCTGCACCCACCCTCACCCCGTGGTCGGCATCTGGAGTGAAGATTTGTTCACTAAGTGAATGAATAACTGACTTTCCTGTGGCCACAGAAGCAGCCCCTTTAGGATAATTAAAGCGACCGCACGCGGGCATTCCAGCCACTTTCGGGCCGACTCCTCCCTCAGCTCCGACAGCAGCTGGGCCCTTTTCTTCCTCGGTCTTTTATGTTTACATTGATTGATGTCGGAGAGGAAGGGAGAGGGAGAGAGAAACATCGATGATGAGAGAGAACCACTGATCAGCTGCTTCCTGCACACTGCCCACTGGGGATCGAGCTCGCAACCCGGGCCTATGCCCTTGACCGGAATCAAACCTGGGACCCTTCAGTCCACAGGCCGATGCTCTGTCCGCTGAGCCAAACCAGCTCTTCCTCATTCTTTGGGAGCCTTGGGGGAGGGGCAGCTGCCTTCCCAGCTTCTCCTTGGGCTCCAGGGAGTTAGGGCCTCATTGCCTTACTGCCTCTCCCTCTCCCTGCACCCCTTTCTCCTCGGAGGGTCCCAGCAGCCCCTTGCTGTCCACTATCTCCATTCCCAGCCTGCCCGCCCTCAGACTGGACGTGGGTGAAGCCATGGTGCCCACAAACCTGTCCTCCCCACGGCACCGAGGGACACACTGCTGGCCTCCCGCACAGGCTCCCACCGCCCCCAGGGACTCTCACCCCGTCCACCCGCAGCCTCAGACTACGACCCAGGACGTGCTGTCACATCTGGGGGACGACCGGACACACTGGCTGCCCAAGTCCCCGGTGGGGACAGTGCTGGCCGGCTGGACGATGTGCTCTCACCGCCACCAGCCTTGCCCTGCTGTGTCCCTGCGCCTGCTCCTACTTGAGTTTTCCGAGGTCACCAAGTGAGCTGCTTGCTGTCCAATCCTTACTCGACAACAAACTACCACAACCCAATCCCCGGGACCCAAACTACGACACCCACAATTCTTCCAGCAAAGAACCCCCCACTTGGATCTCCGTCCCATCCCGGCCACACGTCTCTCCGGGAATGAGAGCGACACCTGCTGAGCTGTTGGGGCCCCGTGTCCAGCTCCCCTCCCTCCTTTCCCGCCTGTAGGTGGAGGGAGGGACGGATATGGACAGGGACACAGATAAATACACCGATGAATATGCCGGCGTGGGCAAACGTAGTCCACGGTTGGGGTCCCCATGGCACCCCCTCTTCCCATGCTGCCCCCTCCCTCCAGCCCCGCCGCCCACTCCCACCACCTCCCTCCACACCACGCTGGCTCCTAGGCCTGGCTGCTCCTGCCCCAGGCTGTGCCCCCACGGCCCCTCTGCCTGGCCCTTTATTTGACCGACTCCTTCTCATCCTTCCAGTCCAGCTCCTCAGAGACGAGGCTCTAAAGGAGCCGCCGTCTGCTTCCTCTTCACCATCGCACGTTGCACCCTAGCCCCTGAGATGGTCTTGTTTGTTTCTGGGTTCACTTCTGCTTGCTCCTAGCCCTAGACTGCCAGCCCCAGGCAGGGCCTTGCCCACCTTGCTCCCTCAGTCTATGCCCGCCCTGCTCCCATGGTCTATGCCCGCCCTGCTCCCATGGTCTATGCCCGCCCTGCTCCGAGGTCTGTGCCCGCCTGGCTCCCGCGGCCAGTCCAGCACCAGCACGGGGCCAGCTCAGAGCAGACACAGGGAGCACTTGCGGAAGGAACGCAGGATGGAATCTGGGCAGGCTGCTGACCCAGCCAATGCAGCTGATGCTTCCTCACGTCAGGAGGTGAGCCGGGCACCAGGTGGGAGGCTGTGGGGCCTGGGCTGGGCTGCAGGGCTTCCGCGTCCCCCGACCCTGGGTGTCCTCATAATTCCAGGGCCCACTGGCTCCCTTTGGCCTTCCCTCTTCCCAGCTCCCCAATTGCCCCCCACAAAGCCCCCAGCTTCTGTCCACAGGGTGCCCTGCCCACCCTGCAGGGGCCGGGGAGGCTCGGCCCAGCGGGGAGCCAGGGGCCGTGTGCCGTGTGCCTGGCTCTCCCTCTGTCCCCGCCACATGCTTCCTGCCCACCCTGCAGGGGCCGGGGAGGCTCGGCCCAGCGGGGAGCCAGGGGCCGTGTGCCGCGTGTGCGGGTCTCCCTCTGTCCCCGCCACATGCTTCCTGGGCTCTCCGCTGGCTTATCTCTGAGGCGGGTGCTCCCAGCTGCCTCCAACCCTGGTGCGGCCCCTTCTCCCAGGAAGCCCTCCGCCCTGGCACAGGCACCTGCCACTGACCATGGGAGTGAGCCAGGGTCCACCCAGCAGCCACCTCCTGTTCCTCGGGCAGGTCGTCTTCCTGGGCCGGTGGCTCCTGCAGGAGCCCCTTTCCTCCGAGAGAAGGGGGCGCGCTCCTCTCAGCCGCCCTGCCCGCCTCCCCCCCCGCCTCCCTCCGGGTGCAGCCATCCTCACTCCGCTGCCAGGATCACAGGAGTTGCAGGCAGACAGGCCTGAGTTTAAATCGTCACTTAGTCTGGGTCTCCCCAGAAGCAGACTGAGGTAGGAATTCAAGAGTAGGGGTGATCCTGAGGTGCAAAGCACACGCCTCATGGCGACCCCACCCTGGGGACTCGGGAGCTGCCCGCCCTCTGTGGGTGCAGGTGGGGGAGGCCCCGGGCACTGAGACCTGGACTCCGGCAGTCGGAGGACACTGAGCTTCCTGAAGGCTCCCACGTGGGCCGGGCACTGACTGAGGCTGCTCTGATGCTCTGCCAGGGACTCACTGAGCTGTGTGACCTGAGGCAAGTGGCTCCACCTCTCTGAGCCTCACTGTCCTCATCTACGTTCTGTAGGGGCTGGGGGTCAGCAAGAATCGGAGGTCGGGCGTGAGAAGCCCTTCAGGTGGGCAGGTGGGCAGGGAGCGCACGGAGGGCATCAGAGGCTCAGAGGAGATTCTGCCCCTTTAACTCCAATCTCACATCGGCTCTTCCCTTCCCTGCCTGGAGCGGGTCTGCTCTCTTTTTTCCTCCCCTCTGCTTCCTGGCACAGACATGTCCTTTCCAAACGGGTGCCCTGGATTCTGTCTATGTGTACCCCACGGGGAGGCGCACGCAGCTGCCAGGAGCACCCGCAGCTCAGACAAGTCCTGTCCACCTCACCTCCCGGACCTGGCCAGTGCCCCACAGTGCTGGTCTCCCTGGGGCCGATGGCTGGCCCAGGCCGGGACTTAAGCTGCAGTGCGCCCAGTCTTCAGCTCGCCAGTGTCCCTCTGGCTGGCTTAGCATTCCCCCCCCCCCCCCCCCCCCCCGTGAGGGCCGCAGCCGCTGCATGCAGAGGACTTGCTCTGCCCAGACACCACCCTCCGTTTCTCCATCTGTAGAGCATGCTAGTGGGAGAACGCAGGGTCAGGGAGAGGTTGGCCTGGCTCGTCTCCCGGGTTCCTCCTCCGGAGACGGCCCAGAATTGGCACAGCCCCCGGGAAGAGGCCACTTACGGGCGGGGTATCTCTCGTGGCGGCAGTCTAAGCGAAGGTCGTCCTCCTCGTCGTGCCGGTCCCCCTTCTCGAACCTGGAGAAAAGGAAGCGGAGGCCTGAGTGAGGAGGAGCACTGCGCACAGCGGCCTCGCACCTGCCCGGGGGGCCTGCCACCACCCTGCGAGCGGCCTGTCCGCTTTACTGATGAGGAAACGGAGGCCCCGGAGGTGACCTGACTGACGAGGTGTGACAACTGAGTCAGAGGCAGGGCCAGGACGCAAACCCATGTGCTCGCAAAAGGGCGCCCCGTTACCTGTAGACAGCAAGTGACAAACGAACCCGCATGGTCTGGTTTGTTTAAAACAGGGGTCCTCAAACTATGGCCCACGGGCCACGTGCGGCCCGCCGAAAACATTTATCCGGCCCGCCGGGTGTTTTTGCCGCCGCTGTGTGCATAGGAATTTGTTCATAGTTTTTTTTTTAACTATAGTCCGGCCCTCCAACGGTCTGAGGGACAGTGAACTGGCCCCCTGTTTAAAAAGTTTGAGGATCCCTGGTAAAACATGCTGCGCTGATCTGCAAAACAATTTGGCTGGTTCTGGCCATTTGCTCAGTGGTTAGAGCATTGGCCCTTGGACCGAAGGGGCGCAGGTTCAATTCCCAGTCAAGGGCACGTACCTGGGTTGCAGGTTCAATCTGCAGCCCCAGTTGGGTGCATGCGGGAGGCAACCAATCAACGTGCCTCTCTCACGTCAATGTTTCTCTCTCTCTCTCTCTCTCTCTCTCTCCCCCCTCCCTTCCTCACTTCCATTCTCTCGAAAAAGCAACGGGAAAAACTATCCTTAGGTGAGGATTAACAACAAATAAATTTATTTAGCTGACTGTATGCCAAAAGCCTGACGGTGATGAAGCCTAGATAATGAGACGATACGGGTTAAATCCTGAGCTTCCTTTTTCAACTTCCCTCTCTTTTCTGGTTTGGGGCAATGGACTGATTACTGTGTCGCTGCCTAACTGCATGAAAGCACTTCCTAAAGCCATGTCCACATCTACACAGCCCGGCTTCTCCCGCCTCAGTGCTGCTCCCGTGACAGCTGGGAGTTTCCCACGCATGGCCTCCTCCTCCTCTGGCAGCGCAAGATCACGGGGTTCCAGAGGGGCCGCCTGAGCCCGTGTGGCAGGAGCTGCAAGCCCCGCGCACAGCTGACAGGGTCAGGGTGGGGGCGGCCACGGCTCCAGGCCGAGACCCTCACCCCACCCCACAATGACCGAACCAAGAGTGGGCAGGGCCATAGGCCCACACTGCACTCACCCATCGTAACCCACATGAACCGCAGAGCTCCACGTGGCCCAGCCCAAATGTGCACCCCCTTAGCAACATGCAGCCCGGCCCCCCGAAGATTCCGTGGCAGTCTGTGTCTCCTAAGAGCACCGAGAGCACCCCGCTCCACCGCTGGCCCAATCCCGCTGTCTTCCCTGCCCCTGCCTGTCAGTCCCGTAGGTACAGCTGCCCCGACCGCCCTCCCCACGGCTCCCTTCCAGGGCCTCCCTGCACTCTCTCCCGTGCTCCCGTGCCTCCCCTCTCCTGCACCTCTCGCCTTCCTATTCCACCCCTTCGCTCTATGCTCCATGCCAGGAGTCTCCATCCTCTCCAAGCAAATCCCCCCCTGCCCCCCCATTTGCTGCTTTTTCCTTTCGCCTCTTGTTCCTGCGCAGCCCTGCCCAGAGGCTGGAGGAGACGCAGGGAAGGTGGCGTGACAAGTGAGCAGCCAGGAGTGGCCTTATTAAGTGGTTCTCAACCTTCCTAACGCCGCGACCCTTTCATACAGTTCCTCATGTTGTGGTGACCCCCAACCGTAAAATTATTTTCGTTGCTACTTCATAAGTGTAATTTTGCTACTGTTAGGAATCGTAATGTAAATATCTGATTTGCTATATGTGTTTGCCGATGGTCGCGACCCACAGGTTGAGAACCGCTGCCGGAGAGGGGAGGTCTTGTGCTGGTGACCTGGTCCCCAGAGACTGCCCAGCGCTCACACAGGCACTTCCCGGCCCTGCCCCGTGTGCTGTGACCAGATGGGGACAGATACGCCCTCCTCTCCGTCTCCGTCCTCGAGAGCGTCCCGTCCAGCCGGGAGACAAGCTGGCGCTCCAGCTAGAAAATGACAGGCGTGGGCCAGAGGCCGCTGAGGCCCGTGCTGTCCGCATGAAGGGCCGGCCTGGCTGCAGGGAGCGAGCTCAGGGCAGGGCTCTGGGGTACAGGCCTCTGCGGCCGCGAGGGCTGGGGCGGACGCTATGGAAGGTCGCCGTCAGGGAGGACATTCCCTTTTCTGTCTTTCACTGAAACATCTTTGCTACTTTCCCGATAGCACAGGTTTGTTAAAAAAAAAACAAAAAACCCAAAAACCTCCAACCACATCAAGAGAGCAGAGTCCTGTAATTACACCTCCGTGTAGCAGTGCTTCTCAGAATTAATACTTATATTAATAGCCTCAAATTAAACACACTTTTTTTTTGTAACCTGATTTTTTTAAAAACTTACCCATGAGTTTCCAACCTCTTCCTATATCAGTACACGTAAATTTCACTCATCTCTTTCCTGATAGCTGTTTGTGAAGATAATAATATTCCATGCCTATCGAGGAACGTTTAGGTGTTTTTCCTCTTCTGAGCCATGCGGCCTGTGCACCCCGCAGGGTGCTGAGTCCCGTCCGCAGAGGTGCTGGGCTGGGGGGCCACCAGTCGGGGGGCTGGACAGGTCCCCGAGCCCATCCTCCTCCCGGCGCCGCCTGCCTGTGAGTCAGCAGACGCCAGCCCTGCCATCGCTGCCTGCGATTCACAGCCTTAACCTTGAACCCTTCTAGGCCCCCAGTTCTTGGGGCCTCATCTCCCTCCCGCCTCATGCTGGCACCTCCCGGGCCGGCTGAGAGCCTCCGCCTTGGGGTGGGCCTGCGAGCAAAGGCGTTGATGTTTCAGGCAAGAGCCAGCCCTGCCCGGCATAGCCCCTGCTCTCCCTGGTCACCCAAACCTCGTTGCTAAGACATCCCAGAGCTCAACAGTGGACACATCGAAGGACACCTGCCAAGGAGTGAGCAGCTGCTGTGGGCCAGGCCTGGTGCTGCCCGTGGGACACAACTCAGGATCCCTGCCCTTAAGGAGTCCGTGCCTGTGGCACCCGCACGAGGAATGACACTGAGCGTGCGAAGGCTAAACAAGCGGATGGCAGGAACACGGGTGGGCCGCCTGCCTAATCCAGGAGCTGGAAACTTTTTCTACAAAGGTCTCGAGGGTACGTATGCGAGGCTCTGGGGGCCACAGCTCTCAGCTGCCCTCAGTCCCAGGCAGCTGCAGGCACCACGGAACAAGTGGGCGTGTATTTGACAGCAGGCGGTGGCTGGGTCTGGCCTGCGGGAGACGTGTGTCAGCCTCCTGTCCAGCCAGTGGTTCCCAACCTGGGGACCCGCGGGAGTCCCCGGGGAGCTTTGATCATCAGGTGGCGGGAGCCTGCCCCAGGGTGAGGTCCACCTGTGTGGGGACCAGCAGGGCTTCATGGAGGAGGTGACCCCGAAGCTGGCCGAAGCCCACAGGACGCGCTCACCCCTCAGAGCGGAGCGGGGTCCAAGGGGCTGCCTGCCTGTCTGCTGTGCCGTGCTGCCGTCGGAAAGAGCTGGTTTCCCTGCACAAACGCGGCCCCACCACCGGGTTCGCCCGTGAAAATAACTCATGTGCAGGATCTTGGCAGCTGCCTAGTGATGGCTAATGTTTGACAGCGGTTAACAAGGGCTGAAGCCTCCGCGGCCCCAGGGCTTCCTGGCAGGAAACCTGAGGACAAGGGGATGCTCTGGGCACAGCTGAGACTCGGGCCTGTGGTGAGCAGGGATCAGAGCTGAGACAGCTCGCCTGTGCAGCTCACCCGGGTTTGGCCACCTGGGCAGCTCCCCTGTGCAG